CCACTCACCATATTTGTCTCCAAGCACCCTTACATCTTCAAGTGGGTTTCTGCTGCATGTTCCACCATTGAGCCACCTCAGGCAGACCTTTTCAGGGGTGGCACTCATGATTTTGATTCATTACACGCAGTGCAGTGAAGTGGACATCAGCGAAGAGGACACAAATCCTCAGCCATGAATCCCCCTTGGTGACCTTGGGCCAGTCACCACCTCTCATCAGAGCACTGTTGTGAGGATAATATGGAGACGCAGGGAGAGCCCCCTTGAGCTCCTTGGCGGATGGGGGGGGTATAAAAACAAACATTTTTAAAAAAGAAATATTGAACTCTGTTCATGTGAAGCAGGGCAGGTGAGAACCCAGTAGCCCTCTATATATTGTTGGACTACAACTCCTATCATCCCTGATCAATGGCTATGCCAGCTGGGGCTGATGGGAGTTGGAGTCCAGCATCTGGAGGGCCATGGCCTCCCCATCCCTGCTATAAATATGAATGGATGTCTAAAACATAGGCAAAGGGCTAATGAAAAATGTAAAAATGGGACTTCTGCTGGTGTAATTTTCACAGGGTATCCTTGTCTATCTGTGCTGTGATCTCAGCCAGAGGTCCATTGGGATCTAACAGCAAGACACTCATCTGGCACTCTCACACCTCAAAAATTCTCCCCATCCTTCCCCTGTTAGCCTACTGATTTCTTTTGCAGCACAGAAGTAAAGACAGGGAGCATCTTCTTTTAACACAAGGGCAAATCTCTGTGCTTCAGAGCATCTAGAGGACCCTACAAATAACAGATAAAAGAAGATGGAACTCCGATTAGGGAGAATTTCAATTACGGCTATATTGATCGGGGAGAGATGAAACAAATGCTACAAAGGAGTGGCAGCTGCTTCCTCCAACTCTGAAGTAAAGTCCATACGTATCCAGCCATCATGGAAAAATAAGACTGGAGATCAGTGGATCCAGAAAACTGTTTTCTTCATCAGATGAGGGATGCTGGTCAGGGATGGGGAACCTGGTGCCTTCCAGAGGTTTGTGGGACTCTAGCTTCCTACCCTGTATAGGGAAGTTTTTAATTTGTTGGAAGCTGCTCAGAGTGGCTGGAGTAACACAGTATATAAATAATAAATTATTATTATTTTTATCAGCCCACAGCAGCACGGTCAGCAGTCAAGAGATTATAGAAGGCATCATCCAACAACATCTGGAGGCTGACTAGCTCCCCATTCCTGCTGTACAACACAGAGAGAAGTGAACAGCTGTGTCTTAGGGCTGTGTCATGTGGTACTCTCAGGATTGGCATGTGCACGCGCACACGCACGCACGCGCACACACACACGTTCTTACCAGGCTATCCTTAGAAATGGCTAACCCCAGGGTGAAAGCAGCTGTGAGCTCTGTCAATCAGTCTCCAGCTTGGGGGCGGGGGTGGGTCACAGGGCCAATAGCTGCAAACAGTAAGATGTAAAATAAGTCAGCAGAGTGGGGGGGGGGTGGCAGGCAGAGGGCACCTGTTCCAGGTCACCCTCAAATCTGCCAGTGCCTCTGTGCGTGGCAGAACTTTCAGTTTTGGAGCAGGCAGGAGTGTATTGGAGGAGTTCGTTTGATTACAGAAACAAGCAACATTTAAGTGACATCGCCTGCTTGGGCTGCAAAGGTACTGGCTTTTTTAAAGAGGGAGAGAAACATGGGGAGGGAGTGAAATGCCTAACTTTTCTCTTCCTCTCTTCCTCTCGTCTAAATTCTCTATTTATTAGATTTATTTATACTTCTGTAAGGAGATTTGTATTTTCTATATAGGTTTTGAGATAATCATTAAATATTGGCCAATCTGTTAACTCTTTGTGTGGTGTTTCCTCTTAATCTCACAGATAATTTTGTAAGCTGTATTCAATCATTTTTTCTAACCAGTCAGTTTTCATGGGAATATTGTTACTTTTCTAATTTTTTGCTATTAACATCCTCGCTGCGGTGGTCTTGTACATAAATATAGATCAGGCAGTTTTTGTAATTTCTCGTGACATAATACCAAGTAAAAAAGCCTCAGGTTTTTTATTGAATGAAAATTTAAACATTTTTAAAATTTCATTATAAATAACCTCCCAGAATTCTCTTATTTTCTTGCACTTCCACCACATGTTGATAAATGTGCCTATTCCTTCTTTACACCTCCAACAAATGTTCGTGTTCTTCTTATATATCTTTGCCAATTTGATGGGGTTAAATACCACCTGTATTGCATTTTCAGTACGTTTTCTCTTAAATTATAACAGAGTGAATCAAATATCTTTTTTCCATAATCATTCCCAGTCACTCATATGCTACTGTAATATGGAGCAAAGGAAACATTTGTGAAAAAGATGACCTTTCCTTGTAATGAGATTTTAAGCACAGCCTTATAGAGCCTCCCAGTGAAAAAGGCTAATTGAATGGAATGGGATTTCCTCCTGAGTAAACATGGTCATATGGTCATATGTTCCCTCAATGGAGAGGGGAATACATAATGTGCATTTATTTATTTATTGCTGCTTAGTACCAGTCTAACTGGGACATGGGTGGGCTGTGGTCTAAACCACTGAGCCTAGGGCTTGCAGATCGGAAGGTTGGTGGTTCGAATCCCCACGACGGGGTGAGCTCCCGTTACTCAGTCCCAGCTCCTGCCAACCTAGCAGTTCGAAAGCACGCCAAAAAGTGCAAGTAGATAAATAGATACCGCTCCGGTGGGAAGGTAATCGGCGTTTCCGTGCGCTGCTCTGGTTTCACCAGAAGTGGCTTAGTCATGCTGGCCACATGACCCGGAAAAACTGTCTGGCTCCCTCAGCCAGTAAAGTGAGATGAGTGCCGAAACCCCAGAGTCGTTCGCGACTGGACTTAACTGTCTGGAGTCCTTTACCTTTACCTTTTAAACACGGTCATACTGTCTTTGTATTAAACTGCAAATTGTCTTCAAGCTGTGACTATGAGGTTTTGGTCATATGCACCATTATTAAAATTGATTAAGCAATTAATCCATGGAAAGGCAGTTGATTTATCAACTAGAAATGGTTTAACTGGTTGACAGCCCTTGTCACAACACACACATTGCATAAAGAAACCATGGCACAGATGTGGTTTGCATTGCACTCCACAAGAGGGCCATAACGCATCAGTCATCCCTTAGTTTCCTCTTGGGAGAAGTGAGCTGAGTGAATGTCTGTGTTTGTACAAGGAGGGGGTCATGTTCTAGTCTGGCTACCTTTCCAAATTCCTGGATTGATTCTGGCTGAAATACAGCCCCATTGATCCAGGTAGTAAAATCTCCCATGGAAATTGGTCTGCGGACTCCCTTTCCCTTCACAAGGGCAAGGCTCTTTTGCAGTGGAACTGGCAGGATGCCTTAATTGGCACTTTGAATCTCTTCCGCTTAAGAGTTGTGACCATACATCTCTGAACAGGTTTCTGCCTTCTGTAAGATTGGAAAAGAAGCGATCAATAGAATCAAGTAATCCAAAGAAAGCAAAGGGACGGCCCGTCTGCTGGGGTCCTGAGACACTCCCTGTCCTGGGACACCTGCCTCCAATGAATCCTGAGGTCTATAATATATCTTCATGTGTGATCCTGGTGATACTTCTTTTTAAGTTGTTGGGTGTACTCAAGATTATTTTTTATTAATTACTTATATATCCTGCCTTTGCCTCCAAGGAGCTAAGGTGAGACACATGGTTCTTCCTCCTGCACCTGTGAGGTAGGTTATACTGAGAGACTGTGATTAGCTTTGTGGCTGAGTGAAGATTTGAACCCTGGTCTCCCAGGTCCTTGCCCCAAACTTGGATCTTGGCATCCAGGAACTATCCTTTCTATATATTATTTATTATTTTTATTTATTAAGTTTGTATTCCGTCCTTCATCCGAAGACCACAGGGCAGTTCACAACATAACAATAGAAACTAAGAACACAAAATTCACAATAAAGCAAAAACAAACCAATAGCCCACCCCTCTATAAACACATTTAAAAGGAATGTTAATTAGCCAAAGGCCTGGTTATAGAGAGATATTTTCACCTGGCACTTAAAGATATCTAACAAAGGTGCCAGGTGAGTCTCCCTGGGGAAAGTATTCCAGAAGCAGGGAGCCACTGCAAAAAAGGCCCATTCTTCTCTTACAACTCTCTGGACCTCTCAAGGAGGGGGAACATGAAGAAGGACCTCAGGTGATAGAATCATAGAATCATAGAATCATAGAGTTGGAAGAGACCACAAGGGCCATCGAGTCCAACTCCCTGCCAAGCAGGAAACACCATCAGAGCACTCCTGACATATGGTTGTCAAGCCTCTGCTTAAAGACCTCCAAAGAAGGAGACTCCACCACACTCCTTGGCAGCAAATTCCACTGTCAAACAGCTCTTACTGTCAGGAAGTTCTTCCTAATGTTTAGGTGGAATCTTCTTTCTTGTAGTTTGGATCCATTGCTCCGCGTCCGCTTCTCTGGAGCAGCAGAAAACAAGCTTTCTCCCTCCTCTATGTGACATCCTTTTATATATTTGAACATGGCTATCATATCACCCCTTAACCTCCTCTTCTCCAGGCTAAACATGCCCAGCTCCCTTAGCCGTTCCTCATAAGGCATCGTTTCCAGGCCTTTGACCATTTTGGTTGCCCTCCTCTGGACACGTGATGATCACAGGGTCCAGGCAAGTTCATATGGGGAGAGGTCCCCCCCTTTTTGCAGCAACGTTTTGCACCCTTAAAAGACAGTTTGTTTACTTATTCATTCCATTTATATCCCACCTCTTTCTCCAAGGAGCTCAAGGTGGCATAAATGGTTTTCCTCACATCTCCTTTTATCCCCATAACAACCCTGTGAGGTAGATTAGGCTGAGAGGCAGTGGCTGGCCTAAAGTCACCCAGGTAGCTTCATGGCCGAGTGGCAATTTGAACCCTAGTCTCCCAGGTACTATTCTGATACTCTAACCACTACACCACACTGGCTCTCAAAAATATCAGGAACTTTCTTCACAGGTAACCAACCACAAAGGGACTCAAATCCTTAGTCTTCTAGTCTGAATTCAGACACCTTATCCATTAGGCCACGTGATCATCATTTAGCCGTAGTGCTTTCCGAATGTGTTGGAACTGAATCATGCAAGCGGATCCATTGTGGGTGGAAACATTTGATTAAACCAGCTTAAAATGACAACAACAGAAAACTGTTGTGGGTTCAGTTTACTAACACATGCTAGCTTCCAAGTTAGTGTAGGTGGAGCAAATGAATGCAACATTCAGCAGGTGGCATATGCCGTGCTGTTGGTGTTGTGACAGGAGAGCCACTACACAAGAATGCCCATTTCCTTCCTTGAAATGTTGTGAGGCATATTAGCTCTGGCCCGCAAAATGAAACCATATGCTATAACCACGTTCCTGGCTCCAGACCCCAAGGTCACTGTCAGGGGGTGTTAAGCAGGATATAGGAGCAAAGAGAAAAGGGATGTGCAGATGTGTAGAAACAGTACACATTTGACAGATTTGTAATTATGTGCTTAATTTGCATGAATTTGATGGTTTTGTGCAAACATTTGACATGTTTTATTTATCCATTACTATGCCAGTTTACTGCTGTTGCAGAACCCAAAAAAATCCAACAACCTCGATTCTGAAAATTTGCTGGGAGGAGAAGAATGTATTATGCATATTATACCACTTATGTAAATGATATTGGATTATTTGCACTAAGAATTGAATCAAATGTGATTTATTAGACATAAACTCCTTTGCAGCATCAGCAGAACTGATAGCTTTCTTTGAGATCTCAATATATCCCTCACTCGGTTAGATACTTCATCCTCGCTCTGTAAGTCAGGAGGAAGGGTGAAAGCGGCATTGGGAAGGCTGGCAAACAGCAGGCAAGGGCAGAGGACAAAGGCACTGAGGGTTAATGGAGAGCAACATGGAGAGGAGAATGAAGAGCACAAAAACGTATTTCCATTATGTTCTAGTGATTGTCACTATCTAAAGGATCTACTTCTATCACAGCTGCTGGAAATCTCTCCCTGAGCCTTCCCAATTGCAAAGCTTTATAAGATTGATGCCCCACTTTGATAGCTATCCTCTACCACAATGAGGTCTAGAAGCTTCTCCTTTTGAGAGAGCTGAGAATCATGAATAAGCACTTGGTGCAATAGAGCCTTTCCCCCATATAGTCTGCCCAGGTAGCTGTGATTTGTGGAAGGAGTCTGCCTGATTGTCCTGTCATTTGGCTAGGGTTGGAGCAGGGCATTTTGCACTATGGTGCCCATTTTGTGGAATGAGCTCCCTATGGAGATCAGGGGAGCATTGGAGGGGGTGCCAAACTGGGTCTTTGACCTGGGTAAAATAAAGCCTAGTTTTGTCCCTACTGTCTGGATGCTTTAAAAGTATTTATTTAAATGGTTCTGCATTTATTGTGTTTCTAAATTTAGACATAGATAAATGAGTGTGTGAGAGAGGAATTCATTCAGGGGACCAGAGACAACACATATCACACTTCTGCACAACAGAGCAGGCTGTTTCAATAAACTTTTTCTCTCCCTTACTTCCATTTGTTGGATCCTTAAGACCTATGCTTAATATTATTGTTGCCGAATCTGCTGTTAGCTTTGAACGAAGAAAGCAGTAAGAGTGGCACCAGCTTAGGTGCTCTGATAGGGAGTCGCAGACATAATGAAAAGAAAGGGGGAAATGGCCCTTTTTTAGAGTGCAGGGGGCCTTCAGGTGGCTGAAGCTGAAGAGATGGCGGGAAGATCAGGAGTAGGGATATTGCAGGATATAATGGGAAGTGAGACAAGATCATTTAAAGAGAAGGCCGTGAGGAATCAGAAAACGGCTTTTGCAAAACCAGTTTATGCCACACATGTCTCTTTACCTTCCAGTTAACTGGAAGTACATTTGGCCTGAATGTTCTCCAGCAAAATTATTACTCATTTAGTTCAAGCATTGTTATCCCACTCTTCAGCCAAAAAAGGCTTTCAAAAGTGGCTTACAATATCTATATAAAAAAGACAGTCACTACCCACTGACTTACAAGCTAAGAAAAACAACACAGAAGGAAAGGTCATTAGGAGGGAAGAGGAATGCAACAAACAGGCATTAGTTCTTAGTTCCAAAGTTCACACTTGTATTAATTCTGGCACACAAGAGGGAGGCAATCCCCATGTAGCTGAATGGGCCAGTTAGTGTCCCTCCCTTGGCCCACTTCAGCAGTCCCAGGGAAACTGGTAGTTAAAAGCGAAGGTTCTACCTGGTAGGGAAGGGGATGAAAGCCTCTTTTAGCTGTTTCTTCTTTGGCCAGTGGGTGAGGTCTGGTTGTGTGCCTTGCTTGCCTGATGGTCCTCCCCAGTATCATTAGCTCCAATTGTTGGGAAGCTGCCTCCAAGACTGGGCTCAGGATGCTGCCATTTCTGCTGCACTCCAGAGAAGTCTGGTGCTGTGGGACAAGGAGGGGCTCCCACAGGTCTTATTTTCTGGCTGTAAAACCAGCACATTTACAAGATGCCTCTGGTAACCTAGCACAAATTTGTTCCAAATGGCATTGTGCAAAACTGTGGCCTGATTTGTGCCAATCCGAAAGTGAGGGCTTGCTTTATGACTTGGAGAGAGAGTGAGGAGGGGCACTTTGATCATGCCGTGCTCCCAGCATCAAATTTTAAACGCTTGCTGACCCTTGTCACAGAAAGCTTTTTGACACATGGCCTGTTGGCATCTTTGGGCAGCAGCAAGCATTACCTTGGGCTGGCTTGGCTACGCACTTGGTCAGATTAGGCATTCTGAGCAAATTTGACAGAGCACAGCACTGTAGTGCCATTAGAGAATGAGAGCACTTCACCTAAGTGCCGCTCCCAGATTCTAGGTCAGAAGGAACACCTGAGGTCATCTAGCCTGAGAGGTCTCTTCTCAGCTGAAGGAAACAGTGAGGAATTACTACTGGTTTTCTGGCATACACACTTTTCAAACTGATGTATTTTTTTTTTATAAGATATTTATTAAGATTTTCAAAATATTACAAAATAAAAATAGAAAAAAGAAAAACACAAAAAATAAAAATAGTTAAAAACAACTCAATCTTTCCATTACTTATTTTTCATTAGCTTGTTTCCCGGACCTCCTCACGCCTCCCTTTTTTGTATTCCAGTTCGGTTTGTTGGTTCAGCAAATCCTTCCCCTCTTTGTCTATCCTAATCATTAATCTTAAAATATTGTAACATTAAATTTTTACCTGTTAGTAATCCATTTTTCATAATCCCTTAAAGCATTACAGCTGGAAACCACTTAATTTCTATCCAACATCATTCTAACATTCATTAATTTTACAATATTTCTGTAAATAGTCTTTAAATTTCTTCCAATCTTCTTCCACCGACTCTTCTCCCTGGTCCCGGATTCTGCCAGTCATTTCCGCCAATTCCATATAGTCAATCACCTTCATCTGCCATTCTTCCAGAGTGGGTAGATCTTGTGTCTTCCAATACTTTGCAATAAGTATTCTTGCTGCTGTTGTGGCATACATAAAAAAAGTTCTATCCTTCTTTGGCACCAATTGGCCGACTATGCCCAGGAGAAAGGCCTCTGGTTTCTTCAAGAAGGTATATTTAAATACTTTTTCAATTCATTATAGATCATCTCCCAGAAAGCCTTAATCCTTGGGCACGTCCACCAAAGGTGAAAGAATGTACCTTCAGTTTCTTTACATTTCCAACATTTATTATCGGGCAAATGATAGATTTTTGCAAGCTTGACTGGAGTCATGTACCACCTATATACCATTTTCATAATATTCTCTCTTAAGGCATTACATGCCGTAAACTTCATACCTGTGGTCCATAACTGTTCCCAGTCAGCCATCATTATATTATGTCCAAAATCTTGTGCCCATTTAATCATAGCAGATTTCACCGTTTCATCCTGAGTATTCCATTTCAACAGCAAGTTATACATCTTTGACAAAATCTTAGTTTTGGGTTCTGTCAGGGAACTGACATCAGAGCGAGAGGCGAAGGGGAGGCT